ACAGGGCCGGCCCCTGGGGGGGGGTTGTTTTGATCTTTTGCTTACTGCTGTCTGTCTTGCTATTCTGGTATTTGTGACGTAAGGGTTAACAGTTTACAGTTTACTTTTATTGACATAGTTTGCAATTGATTGTAAAATGAAGTAAAATTTTATTTTACTTTCAGCAAAAGTGTTAAGACTTTCAACTGAGTTTTGTTTGCAAACATTTAGAGTTCAATTATTAGTAATTTATAATATATTTTTGTATTTGTTTCCTATTGTTACCATAACAACTATAAATCTAGAGGCTCTAAAGAACATAAATTTATTATTTACAATTCTGTATGTTAGAAGTCTGACATGGGTCTCACTGGGCTAAAATCAAAGTGTCAGCAGGGCTGCATTCCTTTCTGAAGGCTCTTGGGGGGAATCCATTTCCTTGCCTTTTCCAGCTTCTAGAGGCCGTCCACATACCCTGACTCATAGACCTCCTCCTCCATCTTCAAAGCCAGCAACATCTAATTTCTTTGGTTTTTCTGCAGTAGTCACATCTCCTCTGACTGAAGTCTGAGAATATTCTACTCTTCTAATGACTCTTGTGATTTCATTGGGCCCACCCAGATAATCTCCCTATCTCAAGGTCCTTAACCTTAACCACACATACAGAAATCCATTTTGCCATGTAAGGTAATATAGTCACAGGTTCTGGAGATTAGGATGCAGACATCTTTGGGAGGCCATTGTTCTGTCTATGACAGTTGTCTATGTTGATTCCTGCTTCCAAATTGATTATTTTCTTGTAAAATAAATTTGTGTAAAAAAATTAGTTAATTTAAAGAAAAATAGTAGTAAAATGTATTTGGATATGGCAAAAATAATGAAAATGATATTCGAATGACTAAAGTTTGGGAAACACTTCCCCTGACCAGAAGCCCAGTACCAGAAGCAAGTACAGGCCAGAGAGACAGTGGACCCATCCTTGTCCCAGGTTGTCTGCTACAACCAGCTGGCTCTATCCAGTGCTCTAGACACCTGGGTTCAGTCTCCTCATCCTCAAGAAAGGGATTGCACCAGACAGACAATCTTCAGAGGTCCCTCCAGCTCCAATTTCCTAATTCTGTATAAACGGTTATGTTAGGAATTTAAATGTCAGGGCCAAGCACATTGTGAAATGTCTCTAAATATTGTAAAATATTCAAAAGATGAGAAACACTGGTTCTGTCTTAAATGCTGCCTTCCCTAAATTTAGTTGTCAAGTCCAAAGTGTCAAGCCTTGGCTGATTATTTAAATGATTGCTATCACAGTCATTAGGAGTTGTGTTGCCAGGGTTGGATATCCTGTTTTCTTTTTCTATTTGTTTGTTTTTAATAAATACCATTTTGAAGTGGTGAGTACTCATTATCAGTTGCACTTATCAAACAATTGTGGATTCTTTGAGGACGTTTCCTGAATGTAGCCAAATAGGAGGTGTTAGGCAGAGGATGGGCGGTTGGTGGAATGGGACCCCAAAATTAGGTAGACATTTAAAAGGATTGGTGATTCTTAACACATTCTTCAAGGGCACACTTAGATTAAATTTACTTAAAGAGAAAGAAACCTATACTGTTCTTGAGATAATACGTTGTTTCAATTCTTAATAACTTTCTGTTCTTTTAATTAAAACTACTTACTAAAGAGGTTTTTTATTCTTTTCTCTGATAATAAAAATTTCAAGCTCAATATTGCGATCTCTCAAAAAAATCAATTTTGTCCTGGAATATAGTTTTAAAAACTGTAACAGTGTATTTTCTTTGATTATCTTATAAATAACAGGAGTTTCATATCAGCTCTCCTTCCTCCTCCCCCCTTCCCCCCCTTTCCCTTTGTGCTAATCACAGGTGGATGCTCAATATCGCCCCACAGCACAAGATAAATAAGCTTGGAAGGTTTCCTAGCAACATATTGTTCTGGGAACCTGCTCTGTTTCCCTGAACAAGATGAAGTGAAACATCCTAGAATCTGAGCCAGATGGGAAAGGATTAGCTTATTGAGGGTGTTCAATGTATTTTTTAAAATTTCACTTGGAAATGAACCTCTTAACATAAGTAGCAAGAGTGACTTTTAAAAGGACACTCTTAGGTGTATAAAAAAAACCTCAATAATAGTTTGAATTAAAAAAATATGGTTTTAGAGGAAATTCTCTAGGAACAAGCTTGCAATATGTAATTCAGTCATTGATGAATGGATCCATTTTAAATTTTATTTATTTATTTATTTTTCCCCCCAAAGCCCCAGTAGATAGTTGTATGTCATAGCTGCACATCCTTCTAGTTGCTGTATGTGGGACGCGGCCTCAGCATGGCCGGAGAAGCGGTGCGTCGGTGCGCGCCTGGGATCCGAACCTCGGGCCGCCAGCAGCGGAGCGCACACACTTAACCGCTAAGCCACGGGGCCGGCCCTGAATGGATCCATTTTAGAACCATGTAGAAAATACTTCCACACAGGACTGATGTTCAGCCTGCTACCCACCGATACCATATTCAGTGGCAAACATATTGAAATACATCTGATCTTGTGGGTAAATGTTTGCTGGAGTAGACTCTCTCTTCACCATACCTATCACTTCTCCCTAGACCCCGGCTCCTGGGGATACATATGAAACCCCTGTCACTGCCTAAAACTCTCAGACTTTTTGCCTATTTTCCTCAGCTCCAGGGCTACTTCAGTGCTAGTGATTTGCCACTTCATCTTGAGAGTCTGCTTTTGGTTTTTGGAGCGTATGATTAATATGTACAGAGAAAAGAAAACTAGAGGAAATCGAGGCCCCTATAAAAATCAAGAAAAAGAATGTGGTTGTTGCTGTTTTGTTAGCACATGATGATATATATTTTCCTGTTGTTTATCTGATGGTCTTGAGGCCACACAGTTGGTAGGTGGTGCTTTCCTCTGTGGCACTCCAGTTGATCACAGTATACTGTGAAGGTCTCTGGAGATGGAGGAATAAAGGATTAGAATTTCTCATGACAATATTCAGCAGTGGTTTTGCAATTCAGTTATATCCTGGAAAATGTCCTTCCTTCTTGTTTGACTGGAGAGACATTCCCCCATCAGCCAGATGAATATTGTCATAATGTGGTTGTTGAATGATTTACACTGTCTCTCAGGTTTGGAGTGAGTTTGTGAGACTTCCCAAATGTGGTGAGAAGCAGACAATTCCAGTACTTCAGCGTACTCGTGGGTGGGAAGACCAAAGTAACTAGAATAAGATGGGGAAAGACATCTGGTGTCTTTACTTTTTGTTTAGTAAATTCTCTGGCCAGATTCCAGAGAATTGAAACTATCCTCATTCCAGAAATACATAAAATAACTTTATATTCATTCTGGGTGCTTTCCATTCTCTCTTGCTCTCTTTCACACACATATACATGTTTTCTAAGTATCGTGTTTTGAATTCCACAAGAAACAGTTACTTTGGTAGGTATCACGATGGATACTGAGGGGGATCAACACATCATCCTTGCCTTCACCAAGCCCCCAAGAATTCAGCAAAATAACACATTTATTATCTTTAAGAAAACTGGATAAACTTTTTCTTCATTTCAAGTCACTTACTTTAGGACCTAAACATTAAGGAAAGATTTTGATGTCTGAAGAAATTACATAATTTTGATTATCCAAGGAAAGCCTAAAAAAGTAGATTTAACCTGTTACATGGAACATAATAGATTATAATACATTAATTTTATTGAATACTTCTTTTAAAGAAAACAATTTTAAAAATTTCTGTGAATCAGGTGTTATTTTAGATACTTTACCTATGTTATATCATTTAGTTCTTCTGACAACCATTATGAAGTAGAAATTTGTTTGCTTGCCATTTTACAGATGAAGAACCTCAGGCTAAGAGAGGTTAAATACCACAGTTAATAAAACAATAAGAGGCATTCAGACCCTGGTCCATCTAGTGCCAAATTCTGTGAGCTTTGTACTATGTTATGCTTATTTATTTTTAGAATTCTAAGATTCTGTAAGATTCTAGTTTTTTTTTTAAGAGTAGACTACTATCATTTAAAGAGGACATAATTTTAGCATGCTTTGATGCTAAACTTTTGTTTAGATGATTTTCTATTATCTCATTCACAATGATTCTATATTTCTTTGAGTTTTCAGTGACAAACTTTAGAATCTTCTTTCTGGTATATTAACTCCATTTATTTTTATTTATTTATTTTTTTATTATACATAGTTGACTACTGTTTTTTTTGTGTGTGTATGTGTGAGGAAGATTAGCCCTGAGCTAACATCCGATGCCAATCCTCCTCTTTTTTTGCTGAGGAAGACTGGCCCTGGGCTAACATCCGTGCCCATCTTCCTCCACTTTATATGGGACGCCACCAGAGCATGGCTTGCCAAGCAGTGCGTCGGTGCGCGCCCGGGATCCGAACCGGCGAACCCCGGGCCACCACAGCGGAGCGTGCACACTCAACTGCTTACGCCACCGGGCAGGCCCTATTAACTCCATTTAAAAAATTATTTTTTGTTGGTCAATTTTTTATTTTTATAAAATAATTTTAATTTTCATTTTCAACATGGTAGAAGGCTATGAGTGAATTTTACTTGAAGAAAGGTAGTTAACAGAACTAATAGCACTGTTAAATATATTAACAAGAAAAAGTTATGACATATAAGCAATATTGTAGAAGAGAGATGGACAAACTGCAGCCTGTTTTTGTAAATAAAGTTTTGTTGGAATGTAGCCACACTCATTTGTTTATGTATCACTTATGGCAACTTTTGAACAATAACAACAGAGTGCAATAGTTTCGACCTAGACCATATGGCCCACAAAGCCTAAATATATTCTATCTGGACCTCTACAGGAAAAGTTTGCAGACCCCTGCTCTAGAATCTAAATTTTTTTTCTCCTTAACTTTGAATTGAGTATGCTTCATTAAAATGCCAGAAACTTAATTGGGAAACGCATCAGAAAATATTTTCCTAAATGATCTTGTCTAACGTGCTTTTCCTCTAATCCCTGCAGGTACCAACTAAGAAGCTGAAGAAATATGAGAAAGAATATCAGACAATGCGGGAGAGTCAGCTGCAGCAGGAAGACCCAATGGATAGATACAAGGTATGGGAGCCCTGGGTCGCCTGTCGGAGCAGAGTGCCTTCTTTCCCTAAAGCAGCAGTTGTGGCGCGTTCAGTTCTCTCTGTTCCTTCTCGATTGATGTAGCCACTCTGACCGTGCTAAATGTCCAGGTATGTTTGCATTTCAGGAGACTCCTGAGGAGCCAACCATAATATTTCTTTTCTTTCAGTTTGTATATTTGTAGGTAACTCCACCTGTTGCATTTGTACTGGGAATCTTCATAAGAAGCTGAGAGAAAGGGAAAAAGAAAGAAAGTGGCTATCGACTACTTTCAAAAGTGAGAAAAAAAAGAAAATGGCAAAGTACTGTTTTAGCTGTGCACGGTCACATCCACAAAGACTTTTAGAAGGTGAACTGTTCCAAGACTGGCACAAGAATGTTTCAGACTTACCTCTGTCTGTAGCAAATGTTAAAAATACAAACTCATTTGGAAGGAAAAATAAAAACCACAAAGGTGTATCGAGCACAGTATTGGTGTTTGTTGCAACATTTATTTCCACAAACAAACTTATGAGTAACAGTGACATTTCACTACAGTATGCATTTTCAGAGTCAAAATGATTTCAGTTTAATATCTTAGTTAATTGTACTGTTTTTAAAAATTGGGCCATTCACAAAGGTAGATTTCTTTAATTGTAATTAGCAACACTGTTCCCATGATGCATTGTTGGGAAACACTGATTTTGAACTTATTTTCTCCAAATGAATTATTATTGTCTCTCTTCAACATTTTTTAATTCTTCAGATTCCTCCAGATGCATCATGGTTCTCTGCCTCTCCGTATTGGTACGTTAGGATAAGGGAATATTGTATTTTCACATTGAGCACCACCAATGCCAAAAATACCCTGCCAAAAATAGTGGGGTGACATTATTAATTAAATCATCCACAGTGGGATGACTTCCGCTTTTGTAACGAGAGTTGCCTTTATATGGTCAGAGAGCTGGACCTTATGTGGAGCTTATGTGGTGGAGGGGTATATGGATTTTGTAGTCAGACCTGAGTTCAAATCCTGGCTTTCCAAAAAAACAGCACAGGATTTAGAATCCAAGTTGGGGTTTTAATGCCTGTGGCATTGTTCAGCATCTTGGACTAGTTATTGAAGCTCTTCCTCACCTGTGAAACATGTAGTATACACATTTCCTTGAGGGATTGTTGTGGGGGTGAGGGATGTTGTGTGTTAAATACCCAGCACATAGTTGGTGTTCAATAAATGGTGGTTGTTAGCCTTATTATGCTACTGCCTCGAATTACCCAAATATTACTAAAACAATATCACCTTATATGGGTCTGCTCTGCCAGCCCCTCGCTTATCTTCCTCATATTTCTCCCAAGTATTGCTATCCGGTAAACTGACATCAGTATGTTTCTCCCCTTGTTTATAGAACTGGCCTGAAGAACTGATGATAAAATCCCACATACTGCTAGGGTAAATAACTGTTAACACATAAGGTGCTCGCAGAATAAGGTTTGAAGCTAATTGCTACCACCACCCCTCAGTAAAACCAATTGTAATGTCGCTCATGGAGCATGCTGCTCTGGAAAGGCTTAAGTAGTAATCATGAATATTGTTGAGGATCCGAAATGAAGCCCTCCCACTGCTTGTATCATTCTAATTTTCTTATTGCTGCCATCATTATGAGTAAGATCTGGGAAGAGTCCTTTAAATAGAAGAGAGAGAAATGAAAGACTAAAATAGTACATTTAAAAATCAGTCTGGGACTGAACTTGTTATTGTTTCTTAAATCCTTTTTGTTTCAAAGCAGAAATGTATAGATAAATAGTACACTGTATATTATTTTTTAAAAATTACCACACATAAGACTATCAGTGTGTACAATTTTTACTGAGGGATCAAAGTAGAATTAAACGTTTTTTGTTTTTGTTTTGAAGGCAGATAGTACTTTTGAGTGTTGTGGCCTCTTTTATTTACATATCGGATACCCTCTATAGCTATTTCCTTAGTATTATTGTAATAGCTTGTCCATACATCATCCAACTAATATCTCTATATCCTTTTAATAATGTCTAGACATTTATACTGGCAATATACTTGATAAAGTTACAGTCCTCAAATCATAATTACATTTTTTTTTTTTTTTT